GCATTCCTGAAAAAATATTTGTTAGACATTTCGATGATGCGGTACAGCTCTGATAAATTTAATGTAAGGGCTTTCATTAAGTGAAATGACATAGGAATTTATTTAATTAGATGACGAGATTTGTATGTGGATAAGGTGGATCGACTTCAAGCCATTTAAAAGATAATTTTGTAAATTTGTTGTACAATCAAGTGATGTTAGAAAAATTGGGTTTTGAAAGTATTTAAATCGTTAATTAAAGGGCGGAATGTTAAAGTTGATAATATGAACATTTAGAAACAAAAGGTTCATTGAATTAAAAAGTGATGAAAAATATTAATGCCTCAGATACACAGAATTTTAATAAATTACCTTAATAGATATCATAAGAGAGAAATTGATATAATATTTATTATATAATAATAAACTAATTTTTGTTTTTTATAATTTTATTGTTTAGAGTATTAATTACATACCTGAATATCTTGAATTAATATTCCGACATATTAAATTTTTTTAATTATATCACATTTGTTTATATATTTCTTTTAAAACTTTCAATTTGTTATTCATAAAATTAAGTTCAATTGCAGCAATTATCCAATTGTATTTGCATACTGCGTAGGTTGCGTTGTTTATATGTATATCTTATATAAATCTGTGAAAGTTTGAGTGAAATTGAGTAAAATAAAAAATCACTTTTCATATTGAAAAGATTCAAATTGTTTAATTAAAATTAAACATTTTAATTATAAGAATACCTATCGAGATTATCACTGAATATTTCAATTCAATGTAGAGAATAATATGTCGTAGGTTATCTAACACTTTAGATTTTATATCATAATTTAATTCAAATTAAAACAGTTATCATAGTTTCATTTAATTTTATTAAATCACTATAAGTTAAAAATAAAAATTATATTTAAAATCTCGATAAACTGCACATTAATGTGTCTCCACATTAATTTACATAGATTAATTTCATCTTTTTATCTTTAGAAAAAACTTTCAGCATTAGCAGTAATGTTTGCTTAAATTAAATAAAACTGCACAATTAAAAGAACGAGTAGTATACTATTTATATCATTAGCTCTTTTTAAAAGTATTAAGAAAAGCAATTTTTAGATATAAATTTAAATATGCTTTATATTCTACATTGTATTTGGATGCTAAACTAATAGTAATAATAATAAAAAATAATACTAATCCTTAATTTATACTTTTATTTTTTCAAAATAAATGTATTTTTGTATGGTAAATAAAAAATTAGTGATTTCAATAAAATAATTATATGTATACACATAAACATGTAAAATTTATTTAAACAATATCATTATAGTTACAATGCAATTTCATATAGAATGAATTTACTATTTAATTTTATTAAAAATAAAAAAAAAAAAAAAAAAAATAACATAGACAATATTATGAGAAATTATTGTGAAAAGCGTGTCGAAAGATATAGTGTTCCTGAAAAGTTCGTATAAAAAATTTTACAATTACGATTACAACACTAATATAAAAACAAATATTAATATCGATAAAAATAAGAATGAAAAGTCACTTGTACATAAATGTTGAGGCTGCACCGCAAAACAAAATTGTGTTTCGGTCCTGTACAACTTTCGATAATAATCATATACAAAAATACAAATGGTCGAATAAAAACGTCAGACAAATTGCAAGAATAATGCACTTGTGAATGATACGAGATTTGAATTTACATACACATATATTCCTCTTAATGCTGTTATTTTAACATTCTATACTACTGCAATAAAAATTATCGTTCGTTGATTCGCGGAGCGCTATGCAAGACGCTCATAAAAAGCTCAGTGTCACTGGTTTCAAAAAAGAACGACAAGTGTCGACGCGCAGTCGAAAAACACAAGAGGTCAAGAATCTTTCGCTGACTTCGATCTCACTCGTCAGTAACCTTGGATGCAAAGTTGAATTCGCAGCGGGGTGGCACCGGTGGTCCCGGTAGCTTCTTCAGTGTCACCCCAAAGTTTTTGGCTATCTCCTCTGAAGCGGCCACCTGAACGTTCGTATAGTCAGGTAGATTGCTCAGAGTCTCGGTCTTTGTGATATGCGCCCTCGGTTCCGCGTGAATCTCCGGCTGGATTGTGAGAATGTTGTGGCAATCGGAACCCGATACATTCTCGTACTCGAATGGTATGCATAGTCCCGGTGGTGGCTTTAGGATTGGGCTTATATTTGCGTAGTTGCCGCTGCCGTCCAGGTCATGGATTGTACTTGAGCTCGACATATCGATCGGAGAATTCGGCGTTTTTAGCTCACGTACATTGCCTAGTAAGTGGGCCTTGAAGGCTGTTGATTAGAGAGAAATGAAAATAATTATTATGTCTGAATATATAAATCGTTTGATTATCTTAGAATAATGCGTATGATACAACGATCTTTAAAATTAAATGTTACAAACGAAATTACGGAAAATAAGTATTTGCAATGAATCCTTCCTCATTTATAAATAACAAAATTTTAAAAGATTTATCTACTCGATGTTATTCACATTAGTCGATATAATAGTCGAACGAGGTGTAAGCATTTTTTTTCTAAGCACACGTACACACGCATACAAACAAACAAAAAAAAAACAAAAAAAAAATAACTACTTAATTTATGAGGATTCTTTTGAGTTCCTAACTTCGATATAAAATTTAATGTTTACCTAATCCGTCTACAGTACGGTAAATTAACAGTCGTTACTCATAACTCTGTTATTCGCAAATAAGATGGAATTTCGAATGTTAAGTAGAATACTGAATGTTAGAACTCAAATGCATTTTCAAGTAATTTAATTTAGAAGTATTAAATTTATAGTATTATTACGATTGCCTTTTGCATTCTCTTTTCAGCTTTATAATAGTCTGAAAGCTTAGTGAGATCGAACGTTATCGGTACTTACAATGTACGGGTAGTCCCGATGGTGGAAAGGAGATGTAGTATTCCTTGTCGTCGGCAGTCGGGTGTGACGATTTAACTGCCCGGAGGTCGAGTTCGCTGTTGTTGACACTAGTACAACCCACACGCCCTGGCGCATATTTCGCTGTCTGCTGTTGCAGTCTAGTATGGAAGGGTTTGGGTGCTGGCGGTATCTCGTAGCTTGTGATACCCACGACTTTGTCATCCGAAGCCGGATGCTGCAGCTGTTGGAATAAAACTTCCATAATTCATGTGCATTTACTCCTGCTGCATATATATATATATATATATATATATATATATACATCAGAACACTCGGGAGTGGCTAAAAAGCAAGGGTTCGTTATTTCTACTTGTTTATGAATCAAATCTTTTCTCACTCTCTCTCTCTCTCTCTCTCTCTCTCTCTCTCTCTCTTTCTTTATCTATCTATCATTCATATCCTATGTATACGCGCAGATATGCGCTTACTCGTCTTTAAGTAATGATTCATTCCCCTTAATTTGTGCCATTATAATGTAAAAATGGTAGATTTTTATTATTTGATAAAAAATAAAAATTTATGAAAATATACAATAATCTTTTTTTCACATTTATTTGCTTAATTTTTAATACATAAAGTACAAGAATAATTTAAATATAGAACTTCATTTAAAATTCATATAAACAAATATTCAAGCTTTTAAATAATTCACATAAAAAGTATTAGAAGCTGTGGAGAATTAAATTTTAAAGAGTTTTAAGCAAGTATATTAGTTTTAAAAATTTTCAAATTTGACAAAATATAATTATTCAAAGTGATCTTGCTACTTCGTATATTTATAGATACATGTTTATAATGAAAATTAGCCGTGTAATATTAATAAAACTAATTTCATATAAGGTCTTTTTATGCGTGACCCTAATAATTTCACGATCAATAAGTTTTTTAACTTATATAAGTTTTCTAAATTTATTAAACTAAGGTTAAATGAGTTTTTTATCATGTTGTATTGAAAATACAAAGATATAAAAGTTATTTTGGTTACAATTAATCAATTTATTAGGTTGATTAAACGATTAAGGTTAATTTTTAATATATCATTTTAATAGAATATTTATATATGTTCATATAAATGAGAGTGCAAATAATAATTATTAATATGAATTGCGATATTAATTTTATTTTATTAATAGTAATGAGAATTTTATTATTATTTTATCATTGTAGTAAATTAAAAATGACCGTGCATAAAATTTTACAATTTAAAATAGTCAAATGTTTTAATTATTAAATAAAATAGTAATTAAATACAATATTAGCTTATAATTTTGTATTTTGTATATTAAAATTTTACCCTTCTATCCTCTGTATCGGAATGTGTGCCACTGTCTCCTAAACTGGTACCACTGCATCCACTTACAGTACTCATTCGGCCAGAAGATGATGAACCTTAAAAAACATTTAATTTATTTTATTTAGATTTAGTTTGTGTTAATATGCAGTAGAAATATATGCATTTAAAATTATTTTAAACATACTTGAAACACTGTGAAGACTTAGGCTGCTAACAGGACGACGATCAGCCAAATTCCCGACACAATTTTGTTTACTTGATCCGAGATCTTCATTTACATTCATCGAATCTTTTAATTCTAAATAAAAAGAAGTAAATACATAATTTTGGATTGTATTGCGACCATATTAATACTATTCATAAATTATTAACTATTTTATGCACTTCCATTTATTATTAATTTTAACTTATATTTTACATATTATAGTTAATTGATTCAATATTCTTTTTATTAAAATAAGAATGACGTACGGTCAATTTAATCTATCTGGGACAACAACCTTAGTGTATAACCAAAGCCCGTAAATGACGTATCTTTTATGAAAATAAAAACGTACTAGATATTATCATTATTATATGATTTAATCTGTTATGCTATAAATATTCTTAAGGTGCATTTTTTAAATGAACTTTTAGTGATGCATAAAATAGATGATTAATTATATTTGATTGTAGAACATTTTTCCAACTGTCACATTTCATCCAATCTTCGATCTGTTCAATTGTTAATACTTTTGAAATATGCTATATAAAACTATTTGTTCAAGATACCAACGTCCGATAATATGGATATCTGCTTTTATTTATTGTTCGATTTGATTTTTGTTGTTCCTAGGCTGATCAAATTTTCGATCTCTGTTTATGGACCCTTCGTTAATTAAAATAAGACTTTAAGAGATTTTGATAATATTTCAACACGAATGCAAGCATTTTTGATGTTCCAATATTTTGAATTGTACTTGAGAATTTTTCTGTCAGAAATTCGATTACGCCGGGATAGACGGTAACATTACAGTTTTATTTAAGATGGTATGTTATATTTAAATTATAAGTTTTATTGGCTGATAGGGAAAAATTTTTTCCAACATTAGGTTTGAGCAAACTATTCAGTATTAAATAAACCAAAAACAAAAAAATCCTTCCTTCTCAATAATTTTCCAATATAATATTACGCTATACAAATTATATTAAAAATAAAAAATCGCATTCCACTAACCCTTCTTTCCCTTGGTAAAGAATTTTCTGATTCTATCGAAGGGTGTCGGGGCCTTCATTTCGTCCTTCATTCTCTTCTGTATCCTCTCATATTCGTCCCTCATAGCCGACAGCTGGCGCTGCTTGTCTCTGAAGCTCTGCTGGACGTCGTTTCTATTCCTCCAGTTCTCCACGAGTCGCTCCACCTCGGAGATGGTGAACACATTGTTCTTGAAGTCCGTAATAATCTCGAGCAGCTCATCTTGGGGACATTCGCGCGATCTATTGCTCGATTGGCTTGAGCGGCCCAAACTGGATTTGCTGCTCAGCTGATCGCTGCTGGCGTATTCGCCTTTCACATCGTTTGTTGGTGTCTCGGTACCCGAGCGCTGGGTAATCAGCTGGGAAGAGGATAAGCCTGTCGGCGTGGAGACAGACGAGTCGGGTGATCGGAAACCTGAGTGGCAAAATCAACGAGAGGGTTTTAATTTAATTTTTGCATATTCGTTTCAATATTTCTGAATGTTTCGCAAAAACAAAGGCAGCCCATTGTACATTCACATAATGAATGTATCTCAATTATTTAACTCCTTTTGTTAATTTTAAATTTGATATTATTGACGTTACACAAATAACTGCGTTGTATCAAAAAACATATTTCGAAAAACATAAAATTTCATTTAAATTTATGATAGAATATTATAAATAAATATTAATTCTTAAAAACATAATTAATTAAATATTACATTTAAATTTGTATTCTTATATATGTTTTATTGTATATGGATTTTGATAAAATTGCAAATATTATATATTTTTACAAATATATTTTTTCTACTAAATTGTATTTCTTTCATTTGTCGATTTTGAACGGCAATATGTTTTCATTTTTCAATTTTCACTTGTTAGAGAGGAGCTAAGCGATTCAATTGTGAATTTAAACAATTATAAATAAAATGTTCATTTTTTCACAGATTATTAGATTAAAATATCTTGTACAAATAATGAATGTATTTTATACTCCCAACGTTTAATATATATTAAATCTGATTAAGTTAATTTTTTGAAGTTTCAAGTATTTCCTGTTGATTAGTGCTAAGAAGTGAAACATTGATCAAGAAAATTTCGAAAAAAAGAACGCATTAAATAAAGCTAATTTTTTCTACATAATATTAATAGAATTTTCGGCATCTTACCGTAATTAGAATATCCGATTATTTTACCGATTTGTAATTGTAGGACTATTTGGAAAAGACTATTATGGTAGTAAGTAAATGCATGTTGCCAAAGTCATAGCATTTGGAATAAAATAATGGAAGACGTAGGGAACTTCAAGAGTGCCCAATGGTCAAGAATTAATTAATGATTTTTGTAGCCCTTTTTCGCGTATAAGTCTCGTAAATGAATTAAATACAATTGATGGAAAGGATGAAGCGAGCGCTTAATGCGAATGGCGAGTTGACAGGGAAGTGAAATGCAAAAGTGCTCTTTAAAACAAGTCTGTCACGACAAACCTGTAGGATTCATCTGCATGTAACCTTGTAAGGGTAGCTCAAGGCCGGATGGGTCGAGGGTCGTGGTGGACGAGGCTGGGGCTAGGGTCGAGTCCGCGGCAACTGGGGAGTTCGGCAACGGCAGAGGCGGCGGCGTCGAGTAATCGGGGAAGGTTCGCTGCTGCTGATGCTGCTGCTGGCTTGTGATGGGGACGGGTCGCGCCATGGGCGGTACCGAGTACGCCTCACTTAGGGGTCGAGGTCGGCAGTAGTCCTCTTGGCGTGAAGCCTGTCGGGGCTCCTCCTCGGTCGTTGTCAGTCGTTCGCTTTGATGGGAGGACGCGCGAAAACCTAATTTAACCGTAGTTTAATTTATGTATTATTTGGATGGGAAAATATGCAGATATTTATGCGGAAGTAAGAGCGATAACCATTAGGAAAGACATTTAAATAAACGTCATAGACTAATTTTTTCGAATAATTGAAATAATTAATAATTTATTAATTTAATAATTAATAATTTTAATAATTTTTAATAATTTTTAATAATTTTAATAATTAATAATTTAATAATTAATAATTTTTTCTTATTTGATGGGAAAATGATAGGAAATATGATTGACATACTTACCATTTGCGTTTCCATTTGTATTTTCACTCATCACCTTTAGATAGCTGTACATGTTTGAAAATTCGTTCATTTGCTAAACAAAAACAAAAAACAACATAAAAAATATTAAATTAAATTAAAAAAAAAAACGTAGAAATCCAATATGAAAAGAAGTAATAATTTGTCAAAATACGATAACGTTGAAAAATAATGCTTTATTTTTTTATAACGAAACTAATAAGATTTTTTATTTCTTAAAATGTTTACCCCAAAATATGTATGTTAATTATTATAAGGACTGAAAATTGAAAATGAACGAATAATGAGCTATAATTGTTCTCCCCCATTTTTTTGTTTTTTTTTTCAATTGCGATTGTTCAGGCCTTTGAATTTACTTACCATGTAGCCGCGAAGCTGATGGGCTAATCTAACGTGTCCAGCCTGTTCGGACAGATCCGCGGGTGTGAAATCGTTAGCATTCTTCATGTCGCAAGCTACGTCGCCACCAGGACACTCGAGCAACTGCCACGCGAGCTTCTCGAGACCGAAGCGCGCGGCAAAATGCAAGAGGGTGGGATTCTCTTCGGAACCTGGGTGACATTATTAGGGAAAATTTAGGTTATGATCGTTAATTATTGGAAAGTCGATCGGTTGGGTCAATGATTAATTTAGCATTCTTTGACTAAATTGAAGTAAAGACACATGCGTTTATATCGTAAAAACTTGAAATTATTTTTTAATAAAATTAGACATGGCAATTAGCAATTTAAAGCGACATAGAATATAACGTAAAGGTATTTAAGAAGGAATAGAAAATTACATTTGGAATTACTTACTCGAATGATTCTTCGAGAGCTGAAGATCGTTTGTTGGATTTGAGAGAAGATTAAAGTGCGGTGGTATGTTTTTTTGAAACGAATGCACCATCCAATTATCTAGCTGCTCTTTATCGCCAGAATTGAAGCCGAATGTCTAAAAAAAAAAAAAAAAAAAAAAAAAAAAAAAAAAGAAATTAAACATGAAATCGCAATATTATTAAGAATTATTATACGCTATAGTACACTTTTCGAATATCAATAGCTTCCCGTATGAGAAAACGGTGGGTTATTGTGACTCAACATTAATTAAAACATAAATGAATATCAATGAAGTACATTACGAAAATAATTTGGCGCCAAGCAACGTTCCTACTAAATACAAATTCGTATCGTTTGCCTCTCCGGTTAAACCAAAGTTAAAACAAAATGCAGGAAAGCATCGATTTTCAAACATCAATTTTTAAAGTATTCATATCATAAAGCCTCACCGTCATAATAATTCAATATCATTCTGAACGAGCTTGCGTTACTCGTTCGTCTACAAGTCCCGTTCAAAAGAATTCATTGTATTAATTATGCCAGGCACTCTAGCGACAGTAGTCAACTGTTATAAAAACGCGCAAGAAACGTACCATTTGACGTATTAAAAAAATGAAGTTAAATTCCCTAAAGAGCAACAAAGAGGCTATGAAAGTCCTTACTTGGCACATGAACTCGAGAGGATTGTCGTGGGCCCTGAGTATCTGGTCCAGTTCGCGCAGCCGGCTCTCGCACTTGACCTGTCTGACCCCGAGAGGCGCGCCATTGCATGCGATCCTCACCCCGACGAGCATAGAGACCTCGAGGCAGCGATCCGGTATGGAAAACTGCAGGGTGTACGGGTTGCGCCGTTTCACGTGTCCCACCTCGATCGCCTCGCCGCATCGGTCGACAATTACCGTCACGTTGTCATCTGTCTGCAGTGGCTCGTTCAGCAGCGCGATCACTCGGCTTTGGCCCTGTTTTTGCCAACCGGGCCCAAAGAGTCAAGCTTGTATTAGGAGTTGCTGTTCATTGACGTAATACGAAGGGCTCAAACGGCTTTAAGTAGTGGCAACGTATCGCGTGACATTGGGGCCGAGGCTTCTTAGAGCCTCCAAGATAAGGTAGAAACCAAAGGATTTGTATAACAAGCTTAATAATAGGGCTAATCGTCGTCATAATTGAGAAATAAAGGAGCTTATATGTCTTGCTCTCGTAAATAACTTGGGGGAGAATCACCAATTATAATCACATTTGTTACTCTGCGGATAAATCACCGAGCGCTCATTCATCGACCCGGTGCTGGTAGGGAACACGAGCAGAAGGGGAACGCGAGCAGAAGGGGAACGCGAACGGAATTCCAAATGCGCTCCTTCCTCGATGAAAGCGAAGCGAGTCAATCTGGAATTCACCTTGACTCACCAGTTTCACCTTCTTCGGGTGCACGGAGAAGGCGGTCTTGTCATTCTTAAGATTGCTGGCGATGGCCGTGCCGAGAATGGCAACCGCCGCCCCCAAAAATTGCCCGACGAACGTCTCATCCTGGTCCTTCACGAAGAACTTCCGCCAGCTCGGGTACGTGACGAGGGCCGCCCGGTGCTCCATATTTAGATGGATGTCCTGGACACCCAGCATCATCGCGAGGACGCGCTCGGTACTTAATTGCCGGCTTATCGTGGCTGCGTGCTCAGGTCGCTCGGCCGCGCGCTCCAGAAACACCGGACATACCACGATGATCTGCAGCCGGGAGTTACGGATTTTGAAATCCGTACCGGGAAGTAGAGGGTCCTCGAACGTGATCTGAGACACTCTGAGATTGGACAGAAAACAAAGGATTGGAGGCAAAATGTCGTGCGCTTCAATGAATGAAGGACTGAAGCTGTTGGTACGTTGGTGGTCTCTTAGCAGTAGAGTATTATAAATATCATAATTTAGTGATAATAATAAAGAGATTCCATATTATAATATGGATAGTTTAGATAAGTGTCGTTTTATTGGATCGACAATCCAATAATTCATCCATTCCCTATTCATAAACAATTTTATTGAAATTATTACTCTTCAAATTTTCTTTATTACATAATAAATTTAATATTATGTTTTTAGATTACATTATATTAGATTATATTAGTTTATTCTATTTATTAATTATTATTATATTAGATTTATTAATTAATATTATTTTAGACTCGTAGATTTCTTACTTGATTTTAAGAAATTATTTACGGAAAATATGAAATGGTCATTTGCGCTGTACGATAATGTTAAATAAAAATATGCTTGCGATTTACAGGGGATATATTACTCTGGAAAACTGTTGCACTACCTTTAATACGCTTAAAGAATAATTTTCAATGTGATTCAATTATTAATATAATTTTTTTATTTCTTTATTTATTTATTTATTTTTTTTTTTTTTAAACACTTAAAATGAAAATATAAATTATCGCGCGAAATTTCGACTACATTTATATTGTCTCCAAAAACATACTATTCATTTGATATATTTTCATTTTATATTTGCTTATTTAATATATTTCATTATAAAAATTGCATAATAATAATAATAATATTTAAATTTGAAGATTTTGAATGAATTTAAAAATATCAAATTAGCATAATTGCTGTTCCCGTAAGCCGAATAATTTATCTTCAAAATGCCGATGAATTTAAATATCAGTCGTTACAATAAAACTTTAGAAGAATAATTGGCAAAATTTAGATCGGATAAACGTTGATTCATTTTGTATTATATAGTACACCTCGTTCATCCCACTCACAATCCGAAGTCCTCACATAAAAGCAAAAGGAAGATGGAAGAGTGACTGAGCCCTGACACAAGAGATTACGGTTATCTTGGCCAACAATCTACGTGACTTAACGCCAGCCATGACATTGAACGAAAAAACAACAGACGTGAGATTAATGTTTTGTGCGCACCTAAAGGGCGGTCTGCCTTGTTGTCGGCTGATCTGCTCGAAACTCGCCGTCAGGTAGTTTACCCACAGGGTCGAGGCGTCGTCTTTACTCGAGATGAAGATGACGTCATCCCTAGCGATAGTATCCTGGGGCTTTGATCCTGGGCATGGCCCTGGCGCGTGCCGAGTTCCTGAAAATTTTAGAGAACGACGAATAAGCGTTTTCTTGTCAATCCAAGTTTTAATTATCAGTGAAAAAATATCCGTCATCTGGTGTTTAAAGTTACCAAACTATGTCCCTCACGAAATACAATTATTTTCTGAAATAAAAAAAAAAAACACGTATTTATGTCCGTATCCAAGGGTATGACATATTTTTATTACATTGAAGTATTTTTCCATAATAATGAAGCATAAAAGAGCTGATAGATTAATGAATATTTAAAAAGGCTATGCAATGTGCAAAATGACGTTTGAAATTAAAATACAAAAATACAGGTGCATATAATTTGAGAAAAATATTTCTGGAAATAGTTATTCAAATTTCTATCCAATACCCTTTATCTTTAATATGTTCCATATTAACATTATTATAAATTTGATTAATAAAATATTTAATATTATGTACTTGTATTAATTTATTAATACGTGAACATTACAACAAAAATAATAATTCATATTAAAATTTAATAATTATATAAATATATTTGTTGTGTTACCTGAAAATAATCCTCGGCAAATACATGCGTATATATTAGATAGTATGAAGGATATTTTATTATGCTTTCGTATCTTTTTTATATAGACTCTAAAAGGGATTGGCCGAACATTTTTTTAGTATTATAAGCTTATGAATAAAAAAGGAATATAATATGGGACACATATGTTAAAACTGTGTAGATTGCAATTTTCATTTATTTCTTTAGAAAAACAAGTATTATTTTTTTCAGCCTCACGTATGGAAGAGACATTTTGATACTTCTATTTAAATTAAATGTTATAATTTATTATAAAATATGAGTTTAATTATTTATATATTGATAGCATTTTTTAAAAGTATTTTCATATTTTAGGATCAAAATAATTAATATATTTTTATAAACACATAGACTATTTGTATAATAGTATTTTTTAATGGTATTTCAAAAATATTTTACATTCTTATAAAGGAATTTTTAATAGGAATTGCTACATTTATTTACCTTTCATGTGTATATTAAAATGTAAATAACATTTTTTTTTATTTACAAAGGTAGCAGATGAGAAATAAAATACTTCTAACGTATATTTTAAATGTACTATACAAATATATAGGATATTGTTGTTTTTTTTTTGCACAAAACCAAGTATTAACGATCTTTCAAAATTGCTCAATTTATAAATAGACCGAGTGCACAGAGCAAGTCAATGTTATATAAATGTCAAATCATAAATTATAGTGTTGTAAGCATAATAAAATCTTTTTAACTAATAAAAGTTGATTCTTTCCATAAAATCCATCATTTGTATATGAAAAATGATTTTAATACATCCAGATATTAAAAGAAAAAACGAAGTATATCTAAATAATTTTCCATATAAATGAATTACTAATACAACTAATTATAAAAAGAAATTGTACTCTAGTTTATTCTTAGACTAATTTATTGAATGACTTTTCAATGTTGAGCGTGTAACCGCCTTCTTCACCACCAGAACCAGGCAACGACAAGCAATAATACGATTTCCCATACTTTCAAGGGAGCGCAGGAGCACTCGAGAAATTAATTGCCGCTTTTGTATAGATAAACGTAACTCATTTTGCACGTGGAAAGCCGCGTCATTTAAGGGCGAGGCGTCTGTCGGCCACACCCAGCCGCTGTAAGTGACACACGACATACCGATAATTTAGGGCAAGAGCATACACACAGGGAGCCCCCTCCCCGGCCCTATCACACTCCTGTCTCACTCTCTCTCTCTCTCTCTCTCTCTCTCTCTCTCTCTCTCACTCACTCACTCACTCCCTTGTCCTATTTCTGACCTTTACTACCCGTAGTTACACAGAGGCAGGCCTGTCGATTCAATCGCTATAATGGAGTTTTTTTCCGACGTGCAAAACCTTAGTCAACGCACGATAGTATAGGTAATTTTTTTTTATCTATCTATTAATGCTTGCGAGACTTATAGATCGAGATTTTTCGCTTATTTTGCCTTACCGATACGCATATGTATTATTTTTATGATTTCTCGTTTTTTAACGGCACGCTGACGTTTTTCCATTTCGACGTTTTGCTTCAAAATGGTCTTCCTCGAAATTTGCTTCAGAACTATTTACCCAGTTATATTACTTTCCTAGTTATTTAGTCGGGTTTTTTGAATGGATAATAGCCTAAATAGCTAAATAGCTAAATACACAAAGCCATAATTTTTCAAAACTTATAATCACAAAACGTTGATATTTCAAGTAATCTGCCATAAATTTCGTTTAATTTTGACATAAAATTGTTTACATAGACCAACTCGTAAATATACTCAACAATTTGCTATCAATTCAATTACGTAACATTGATGAGGTTCGTTAGGGCTATTAAAAAAATAAAGAATCATTAATTCTTAAGATTGGAATTCCAATCTAGCGAATTTAGAGTACGATCCATCATATCAATAAATTATGAAATCGCACGAGAGCTCTTGTTTCGTAGTACTACCTATTTCGCTTATAGACACACTCGACCTCGATCGATGCTCACGAAAACCATCACGTGACGAAAGATTATGCTTGTACATCTAAAAATGAGATGTTCCATCAAGCTTCGAGCGAATCTATCGCTTGTAAAAATGCTATATATTTCACAAGACGGTTTCGGTAAATATACTCCGAGTAAAATGAGTGGGGCGTATAGCTAAATATTTTATTAGCTACCTCCCGAATTCCCATCCCCTCGTATCAGCAAAGTGCCTCATGTAATCTACTTTTTTTTCCTCTTCTCGTTCAAAACTATGTGTACGTGTACGAAACCCGATCTGCTGAAAATGTGGTGTTAAGTTAAAGGATGTCCGAGGAGATGTATTTTTTTTTCTTTGATACAGGCGAAGGCATAATTCGATAATCCGAATTTTGGCGCGTAAAATAGAAGTGGAGCATTTTACTTTATCGCATTTTTACTCGCTACTTTTGCGATTTATTTGTTACGTAAATGTAGATAGGAGCATAGTAAATCCAATAATAGCGTTAAATAGCATAGATTTTCTATTTATCTATCCTTACGTGACATAAGTAATATCATTTATATGTTTCCGTTCATTAATTAATAACTTCTCGGGGTAAAAAAGCCGTCGAGTTAAAAAGCTAAGAAAATAAAGACGTTGAATCATCCAATACACAATACATATTTATAATATTGATGTCAATTCAATATTTATTATACTTATAAATTATTAATTTTGATTGTTGCAATTAATAAAATTGAGATACATAGAATGTGAAGAACCATAATAGCACTATTTGCTCTTATCGGCATTTAAACATAAGATAAGTCTCTGCTGCTATTGTTAATATTGATTTCTTCGTACTCTTTGTACAATTAAAAACCGATTTAAAATAATTTTCATTCATATTTCCACGACCCTACCATTAAAGAAGAATGAAAAATTATAGTCTGAACAGTTCATAATCTTTAAAAAAAAACAATATATATATATATATATATGTTATTCCCAAAAATAGTTATTATTAATATTAAAATATGACTGTGACTCTCAATAGATTAATGAATAAGTTTCTATTTTATAACAACAATTAGGGATTAAAGCGCGATGAAACACGATGGCGCGAAAATGATATTTTTAATGTTTAGATTGTCCATTTTATGTATACACGTGGTTCTATCCCCTCTACACCTGCCTCCCCAACACCACTGACAACGACGACTCTACAACTGTATATCTTCGAACATTTTTATTTTCTTGTTATTAGAATGGCACATGTGCTCGCGAGTTCGGATCACTGTCTTTTATCGTCTGGTACGTCTACACTTTCTATTCCGGAAACAGGGCGCCAACCGTATGCATCTCGCCCCGTTTATTTATCCATCTCTCATGCTCATTTGTATATGATCAGGAAGATATCCCCCCCCCCCTTTTTTTTTATTTTCGACAATAGGAAAGACATAGTTCCAACTAACGTACGTAGATTATAAAATTTCACGAAATAGTTATAAGATAGTATTCTCCATGTCAGATGTTCCAACTGAATTTTGATATTAAACTCAATATTGCCAATTCATAGTGTTGCATCGATGCAATAAATATCGTTAAGTAATATAATTAGAAAATTAGAGATTACAGAAAATATACATAGACTTTTATGTCAAAGAAATATTAAATAATTGATTTTTTATATATTTCGTGAGACTTAAAATCACCAATGTTCACTTTATATAAATACATTATATGATAGAACGGTTCATTATGAATTTGCTCATTTTTTTTTTCATTTTATGCGATAAAAAGGAAGTTAAAGACTAATCATAAATGAATCAAATAAATGTATGTGAATAATTGGATCATATAGAGAAATGCAATTCTTTAATTGTGCCTGCAAACGATTAACATTCTGGCGTATGCGCAATGTGATACAAATAAAAGAGCGAACAAAACTCGTGCGGTTAGTGTACAAATGGCACATTTCAATGACATGAAGATGGTCGTACGGTGTAATAAACGGTCGAATTGCTTGACTCCATTATTAATGAGATTGCGCACTACGATTGATAACGATACATAATTTTCAGGAATCATGGTCTTTTCCATGACGTCGAAAGCTCAAATGTACACACGCGAATGGACGCACCAGCGTTTCGAAGGAACATTTATTACATTTTCGAAAGTGGAATACAATGTCGAGCTACTAATTTTTTTGCTATGCATGTTTTTATCGTACGTATTTTATTCGGGTTAAGCAGTAATGCTATAATTATTTAGGTTAGTTGCCCAAGTTTTCTTATTTTCTAACATTCGTTAAATTAAATGGGCCGGGGCGGGCGGGGTACGTTTTTCATATTCGCAGAAATTAACAGTTTGAAAAATTATCGGCAAAATCAATAATTATTTAATCTACATTTCTTCGCTTTGATTTAAAAAACATGCGTTATTTAGGTTGTTTTAAATTCTTAAGACGTGCATAAAATTTTGTTTAATGTATGCATTAAGTTGACACCTGAAAATTAGTGAAAAGTAAATTCCATTAGAATTTTGATGATTGGGCGATGATCACATTATTATATATAATTTCATTTAACGATGTGCTCGAAAAACTAATGATTAGACACGACGTTCATTAAAGTTTAAAGTTTATAAAATAATGAAACACTCTAATCCCGTAATGTAAAAAATTATAATATCATGATATTGTGATATATATTCAGATAAATAACAAATACACGAATTATATACTTTTTTTATCAATATTTAATATATTCGCTAAAAAATTTGAATTGATATTAACTATACGGTTTCAAATTTTCGTAAGATTTTTTATTACAACATTTTAACAATCATGAAGTGTCAAAAATGTTTTAATAACATTTTATGCAATATTAATAAAATATTCAATAAATATTACAATATTCATATTAATGCAATTATAAACAAATACAATTAAAAAATTTGTCTTATATAAATTGCCTTTACAAACAATTGTAATATACTTAATAATTTTTTATTTATTTTTTTTTTTATTAAATCGTAATCATTTAAACTTATCCGTAAAAGTTTGTAGTAAAAAGTTAATATTAGTTTTAATGATATAAATTATTCATATAAAATATTAAATAGAATAGTTTATTTATTTATATTTTTTAGAAATATGATTTGTATAATGTAGATAGATGTTCTTAACAATGTCTTACAATAGTACGAGGAAATTATTATCAAGTTCGAAGGATAATTTAGTTTTAGCCCTTTCTATTTAATAAATATTATACGCTTAAACTTGTAAACGATATATTAAAATCTAATTAAAATATGTCGCATTGGCAAGCGTGACAATGACGCATAATAAAATAGAACCGAGTAGCCTAGTGCCTCATAATTAAAAACATTTATTTAATAATTGAGGTTTTATAATCAGGCCTTTCAAACATTATTTAAACGAAGGAGCATTAATTGTAATTGAAAATCTAGTATATTTAAAAAAATAAATTGGAAACTCATCAAGAGCGTATTTGCTGAAATGTTGTGAATATTTAGTATATGAAAGCTTTATATGTTTTACTTGATCATCAATCGCTTGATTTAAGTACAATCAAAATCGCGTAAATCATCACTTGTACAATTAACGAGTTTAAACATCTTAAAAAGCAAAGTCAAACTCTACTGAGATCGATCAGGCGCGTAATAAGCTGCGTTCGTAGGCACCCAATCATAATCCTATTAGGTTGCACGAGAGTGAATCCGCGAGGCGTGCGCGAGGTAAATGTTAAAAGGATCTCGAAAATATGAAGCTCCGTCGAAGCCCGATGGGAATGAATAACGAGTCCGGGTGCACGATATGTGGACGAGGCCGTCAATCGGCGCTGCTGCTCCTTCCGTTACCCCGAGCGTACGTGACGCGCGCGCCGCCTTCCATTTTCGGATCCGCTTCCGCTCGCACTCCACTCAACACTTTCTGGGTGTATATGTGCGCGTGCCTAACTCTTTTACTTCTCTCTTCTTTTGCTTCATTGCTCTGCCTCTCTCTCTCTCTCTCTCTCTCTCTCTCTCTCTCTCTCTCTCACTAATACTATCAGGTATTAACGACGCGCGTATCCTAAAAGGAACTTTTTTTTGGCCTATTCAATATCAATCAGTAGAAACATTTTTTTTTTTACAAAACGCATGCTGGCATATATCTTTTTTTTCTTCTTTTTTTTTTATTTTAAACCTTTTTTTGTGGGGTGGCTTGCTTTCTATGACTAACCACACCCAAGTCACTGACTACGTTTGAACGAATATTTATTTATATATTTCAATTACGCATTTGTTTGGTTAAATTTCTTTAAATGCTTAGAATTTTTTGCCTTTACCAAAAATAGTTCTTCTCTCTCCTACGTTGCATGTGAAACTGTGATATCATCGGCAGTAGAAAAAAAATTCGACATACATAAATATTCATTATTTTTTTATAAAAAACAAAACTATTTTGGGAACTTAATACTGAAGACTATATTCAACATGTATGGAAAAGTGGAATTTATATATTTAAAATTTATTATATTCAAAATTTGAAAGAAAAGAATGGCTTTTTAACGAGATAATTAATGTTTTGATTTAAATGAATTTCTTAATGTAATAGCTAGAGTATTCAGATTAGTTCGTATATTATTTTTAAAAATAATAACATAATTTGTAGTAGTAATGAAGATGAATTTTATAGCTCTTATATACTTAAAAAAAAAACTTCCCAAGTATATGCATGCGTTTGTTAAAACAATAATTGGATAACAATAGGATATGAATACAATTTTCAGTGTTGATTATGTCATAAATATTCAATAGCTCAAAGTTTTTATTCAATTCATTCAAATTTGTGAATCTAAATAAAGTATATTAATTCACTAGCTTATGTATACATAATTACTGTTAATTCGCGAGAAAATCTCAGTGAGTAAATTTTGTCTAATATTAGCTTATTAAATGTTATAAAAGAAATTTTCATTTGTAGCTGAAGTTTTGATAAATTAATTCATAAATCTTTAGCAATGTAGATAATCGTTTTACTTATAGTAGTGGTTATTTACCAAATCTTTGATATTTCAAGATTGATAAATTTCAGCTCTTGGAAATACGTACATCCGTTTTAATCATTTTTCACATATTTTTTATTGAATTATTATAGAATTTAGGAGATATTTACTTGTATGACTGTTGGCGGTGTACTAAGATTATAAGTTCGTAGTTACTTAATTATGTTTGCGAAAACAATTAAAATGTTGAGAATTAAAATCTTACGATACAGAAAATACGTTTTGAAACATAATAATCATCCTTATCCGCGTGTAGCAAAAGCCAAACAGACTTTGAAGCATGATTTTTTCATTTGTAGCTTTCAATACAATTTTAATCTTGAAAATACAGATTTTGGCCAAAGTATTCGGATAGGCTGGTTTTCTTTACGCTTTGAATCCGTCTGACTAAAACTACGTAAAAGCGAAAGCAGAAGCTCATCCTTATCTCTTATTAATATGTTGGCGCGCAAGAGATGGTGCACTTTCATAAAATTCCGACTGGGAGTTAAATCACCGATCACAATCTTATCTCTCGGTCACACACAGGACTTACGTGGACAATTACCGGATAAATCCAGGAAATCCGGCCTCTTGGTCGCTTCCGCGGGCCGCGGTGTAACCTCGCTTCCTCCCGACATTTCGGCCCAAACCGCGGCTCCGTTGATCCACCCGAGGATCGATCGATCGATCGGACGTAGCGTCGATTTTCGCACTGCGCCATCCACCGCGAGACACCGTCGAAGTAAGCCTCGTGGGTAGATTAGAGAGAGGAGGACGATGAGGAGAAACAGGAGGAGGAGAACGATATGAAGGAGAAGCAGGAGGGGGATGATGTTTACTGTACGTCCCCGGGCTCGTCCGTTGGCGACTGGCCGACGACGAGGTTCGCCGGTGTCGTCGTCTCGCAAGCCGGCAAAGTGCAGCAGGGGAGAGACCAGAGCCCGTTAACGCGCGATCGCCGCGACTCCCATTGTTCTCGGTTCGAGTTGTCCTCTATGCGCTTTTGTGTGTGTGTGTGCGCGCGCGCGCGCGAGCTTGTGCGTCGGGCGAATTATAAGGCGACGCCCGCAATTAGTCGACGCGCGGCCTCTTTAGCCGGAGTCCGTGATTGGCGAAAATGAAGAGAGCGAGAAAAGCATGTGTCCCGTTGTGTCGCTTTCTCCTTCAGATCGACGAGCTCGTCGCCCTTTATTGCCGCCTTTTTTATCACACGCTTTTCGCCGTATTACTACGATTCCAAGCGCTTTTTATTAACGCGAGATTCTCCTTCTCGTTGCCTCTCTTTAACATCTCGTGCAACTTACGATAATGATTGTGACAACGACGACAAGCGTATATCTCGGTAGCTTTTGTTCAATTGCAAGAAGCCTAGAGAGTTTATACTTGTAAGAAACCTTATTTTCTGTTTACTATAAACTTTTTATTGTGTCCACGAGGCTTTGCAAAAGGGGACATTATATATAGTGCAAATCAATCATTTCCTCAGTTCTTTATTTATTTATTTTTTTTTTAATTGGAGCGCCTGCTAAGAGATTTGAATTGTAATTAAAGCCTACGACTTGACTGTCACCTCTATTGATAATTATTATGTATATTTGCAGTAATAATAATAATAAATATATATATATATATATATATATATATATGTATATACAATTGTGATATAGATAGTAATACATTATAGAATTACATAGACAATAGTTATTATTGTTATTATTTCTAATATTGTTCATCAATCGACTTAAATACGATCTATCTGCAACTAAATTCAATTAGTTAAGTTACTTCCATTAGAGAAGTGAGGTCAAAAAACTTCTTAAAAGAAAAGCAACAGGGCATATAAATATTCATCTCACATTTTTCATCATCGAATCATAAAAATGAATGTAAATTGCTACAGAATTAATAGCGTCAATTATTGTATCTACAATCTAAACATAAAACTTAATAGTTGGTATATCCCGAACGTTTTATACAAAGATAAAAATATTACATTTTACATGCTTCTATTGTTCGAACAGCTAAAATTATTCGGGATACTTCAAGATTGTTAAAATGGAAAATTGCTTAACAGTCATAATATTACTTGTTATGTTAAATTTTTCATGTTGAAGAATACACATATTGCAACTTTTAAGCGTTATTAATAGTTAAAGTTAACTAACTCATTTCATATTGAAAATGACAATTTTTAATTTGATTAAAATTATCTATAATGAGTATCACTGCTAATTGTATGACTAAAAGAGATCCATTGCACTACAGTACCTTACAGCTATTACTTAAAAAGACAGAAATTGATAATCTATTTTATGAATTTCAAACAAAAAAACCATTAATTAGTTTATTCGAGATTCTTCATATTTTTTTTTTAAATCTTTAATTCAGCTATTGCTTATTACTTCAATATTGCCTAGAACATGAAATATAATTTGTACATGAAGACATTTTTTTTGTTTATTAAACAAAAAATCGCACTCATCGCCTGTCACTCAACCTTGATGAATGTTCCCACACCGCTTTCATTGCTTAACTATGCTTTCTTTATATTATCCTAAAGGAATTTAAATTTATAAGCAGCTTATTATAGATAAAACCGATTGAACTAAATATATGATTATAGTATAAAAAATAAAAATAAACAATTACCGTTACGACAATAGTATTTTTAATAAAGACAAAATACAGTTTTAGATCATTCTATTGTATTTTTTTTCTTTTTCTTTTTTTTTTTTTGTTAGCTTTACGGAGTTACATATTTTATTTATTAACTACTTCATTATTGAGAATTATATAAATAATTAACGATCATGTGAAAATGTCTATGAAAACATTGACAACTCTTATGTTTCTATATTTAAAACGATTATTTAACGGGCAAGCGGCTTTTAAAGGTATTATTTTAAAGATTAAGATATATTTTTAAGAACTTTTGGAAGTATTTAATAATAACTTGACGTTAATTACGTGTATGGGAATATTTTCAAAATTAACAGTCTTCAGCATTTATAAGGTAGAAAAATTACTTTAAATGGATTGATTAATAAACATATGTAATTATCTAATTAAATATGAAGATACAAAGAAGCCGACGACAAGTAATAATAATTAAAAATATCTAAAAAATTTGTATTTTGTATGATTATTTTTATATAATAAAGGAATTTACATTTTATTGAGATAAATATTTAACAAAAATGAGTTGAAAACATACGTTTAAATTATAAATTAAACATCATCTCAACATTTTCTATTTTAACTATTCAATGTTTTTTTTTTTTTTTTTTGATTTCTTGAAATTCCGCCAAGTCATAATTAACCATAAATAATACCTTTTTCAACAATTAATGTAACTAAAGCATTCGTAGAATCTTTCATCCAATAATAGTCAGTAAAATTTTCTTCTATAATCAAAATATTTACCATTCAATTTTTGTTACGACTGTCGTCAATAACGAACCGACGTGTCAATCATAATGCGGTTAAAAATTTCACTAAAAAATACAAGCCCGAGCACTTCTAGGAAATTGCAAATGTATTCAGCAGATTTTCATGTATGAAGCCTAACTGACGACGAGGCATGTGTAAACTTTGAATGTATATAAGTTTTACCAAGAACCAGTGCATATATAATATATTTGAATTTTCGATGGAATTTCAAATATTCACTTCTTATGCTTTCAGCAATTAAACAAACATTATTATTAAACACTTTCTTCGCACCGATTAAACAAAGACAGATTAAACAAAGTATTGCGTACGCAAGCAACGAAGCAAACGCCGAGTGATAAACTTTACGATATTATTTATCAAATAAAGGGAATAAACGAACGTTCATAATAATAAATGCTCGCTGAATGCTAAAATGGCCTGAGCTTTTGGCGTTCCCAAAATTTACGGACGATCAGTAGGATATAAGACGACCGCCCGCCGGGAGACCTCGGCTCCGAAGGCACGTAAAGCTCGGCAAAGCAGAGGATTACCCGGAGAGGAAATTATGA